ATTATTATTATTATTATTATTATTATTATTATTATTATTATTATTAAGACCTGCAGCTGGACTGTTAATTGAGGCTTTTAAAGCAGAAAGTTTTGAAGAATGAGCCAGAGAGTGCTTTATGGTGTTTCAATTATTTTACAGTTTTTCCTTGTTTAATGTGATTTTCACTGACTTGTTTTAATAATTGTAACGCTGAATTCTATTTATGTTTTGTAGGTTTTACATTGCATTGTTTTGAAGGTTGTGACCCATTTGGGTATTGTACAAGAGAGAAAAGCAGAGTTGTTGTCGTCACACTGGCTAACACACATTTTGGTGCCTCAAAAATGTTAGACCTGTTTCTGGGTATATTTGACCTACTGATTCCAAAAACGGCACCAATTTTCCTCTTTCAACTCGAGCTTTTGAGATACAGAACCCATGACATATACCACTCTTCTCTCTGCTCGCCCATGAAAAAATCAGGATATTTTAATGTAGTGTTTAAATTAATATTTTTAAGCACGAAGGAAGTATATTAAGCATTAAGAGAAAGCGGGCTACATGAAAATATACTCATTTTATACCAAAAGCTGAGATTTATGATACAAATTTTCTATTATACATACAAACATAGCTAAGAAACTAGAGCTGATGTGGTCTATCCAATGCAATTTTTTGAATCAACGCCCCAAATAACTCTATAAACAGGCCTAAAAACCAAGACACCAAATGATTTTTTTAGTTGGGCTGTGTTGTTGTTGTTGTTGTTGTTGTTCTTCTTCTTCTTCTTCTTCCTCCTCCTCCTCCTCCTCCTCCTCCTCCTCCTCTTCTTCTTACCAAGGACTGTACGAGACTGGGTCCTTACACAAATAAGTGTTCAAGGGTTACCTATGTAACTCCTTTGCAGCAAAAACAACATCTACTAGAAATGTGCTTTACATTATTTTTCCCTGCAGAGGAGAATGAATAATTTATTTGGTTTTCTCCCTGCTGCAGACACATCCTTGAATCCAGTGCAATATTCAAAACATCCTTGCCGGGAAGAGAAAGTTTCCACCCATGACAGTAATGCTCCCCTTGGCTGTTCCCAGCCCCCTCTGCACGGTCATTGTAATGACTGGGGGAGTGGGGTCAGTCAAGAAGGAAAGATCTCCGCCACTGCTTCTTCTCTTCTGACACAGGTAGTGATTACAATCATTCTCACATGGCCGATCCCTGCTCTTCCTCTGGCACAATTACTGTAAAATATGAAAGATCTGGGGGCATTTTTTTTTACAATGATCTGATGAGAATGCCACTGGAAGTGGTTGTATTTCACAGAAACTTCCATATTGCAACTATTTGTTTTATCCTCCTGGCTCCCATACTACCCT